TTATAAAATTTATATCAACATTTTTTATTTTTCACGATCTTTCAAATGAGACCAATATTGCTTATGTAATTTTAACAAATTATGGAACTATTATATAAATGATTATTGGATTATAAGGAAAACCGAACTAAATTTAATACAAAAAAATAATTGTGTAAATCACAATTTATCTTAAAATTGTGTATATAAAAAATCATTGAGTTACATGTGATTTACATATTTTTATGTGTGAAGTTACATATTTTTACACGTAAGTTACATATTTCTACACGCGAGTTACATTTGTATCAACATCAAGTTACATTTTGATTAACATGATTTACATTTTCGATTTCCCTGAATTAACTTTTTAATTAACGCACCTTACAATTTCGAAATTTCTCAAGTTACATTTTGGATACACTCGAGTTACATATCAATTTGATAAAAGATATATCTTGTAACACGCGGTTTACATTTCGTATAAAATGTGAGAGAACCACTAAAGGGTGTAATATGAGTTACATTCCAGGCAATGAGTTACATTTGTAGTTAACTGAGATTACATTTTATAACAACACGAGTTACATTTCAATACATAGGATTTACATCACATAAAATATTGAGACAAAAATTAAATTACATATTTTTACACGCAAATGTTAATATGTTAAAATTACATAGGCAATATTGGTCTCATTTGAAAGATCATGAAAAATAAAAAAATTTGATATAAATTTTATAAAAATCGGATCAAAAATAAAAAAATTATTAACAATTTTAAGAAAAGGAGATATAAAAAATAACAAGGGTGCATGGTGCCACAGTATAACTATTGAAGGCCCATCGGTCTTGGCTGACCTGACTAGTGCCTGCCAGGCAGAGGATCTACATTCAATAGTGAATACATACCCCGTTGTGCTCTTCCCGGAATCATAACAACCCCCCAAATCAGCATCGGCAAATCCTTCAAGGATCACATCATTCCTTCTGAAACATAGGGCAGTTTCAGAAGAGCCTTTCAAGTAGCGCAACAGCCACTTAACTCCTTCCCAATTTTCCTTTCCTGGATTTGACATGAACCTGCTAACAACTCCCACTGCATGAGCAATGTCTGGCCTTGTTGACACCATCGCGTACATCAAACTGCCAACGGCTGATGCATAAGGAACTTTAGCCATTTCTTCTTTGTCTTCATTGGTCTTTGGAGACTGCTGCTTGGAGAGTTTTAGTTGACTCCCTAACGGTGTACTCCTTGGTTTAGCATCCGTCATTCTCAACTTCTCAAGGACCTTCTGAATGTACTTTTGCTGTGAAAGCTGTAAAGTACCTTCTATTCTGTTTCTGACTATGCTCATCCAAAGAATCTGTCTCGCTTCCCCTAAATCCTTCATTTCAAATTCTTCTGACAACTTCTTCTTAAGCTTGTTGATCTCCTGCATATTTGCTCCAACCACCAACATGTCATCAACGTACAAAAGAAGGATGATGTATGATGACTTGAATTTCTTCAAGTAGCAGCAATGGTCCATCTTGCATCTAGTGTACCCATTCCGCTGCATAAAACTATCAAACTTCAAGTACCACTGTCTAGGAGCTTGCTTTAGCCCGTATAAACTCTTCTTGAGTTTGCACACCAACTTCTCCTTACCACTCACTGGGAACCCTACTGGTTGAGCCATGTAAATGTCTTCTTCAAGGTTGCCATGAAGAAAAGCAGTCTTTACATCCAGCTGCTCCAATTGCAAATTTTCAGCAGCAACAATACCAAGGATCAACTTGATAGTAGTCATCTTCACAACCGGAGAGAAGATTTCATTGTAATCAACCCCCTTCTTCTGTTGGAACCCCTTGACAACTAACCTCACCTTGTATCTTTTGCTCCCATCTGCTTCATCTTTGATTCTGAACACCCACTTGTTCTCCAAAGCTTTCTTTCTCGGTGGTAACTTGACTAAGGACCAAGCTTGGTTCTTGTCAAGGGAATCTAACTCATCCTCCATGGCCTTCTTCCACTGTATGGAATCCTTCACGATCAGCGCCTCTGTGTAAGATTCTGGCTCTCCATTCTCGGTCAGCAACAGATAATTTGCTGAAGGAGAATATCTGTTAGGAGGTCTTTTGTTTCTAGTGGACTGTCTGATTTGTGCAGTAGCTTCCTCCGAGCTCCCATTATCTTCAGAAATTCCTGTATCTCCTGAGCTCCCACTGCTCCTTGAGCCTCCAGCCATGCCATCACAACCAATAGGTTGTGCTATGTCGTCTTCAGTCATCCCTTCAAACACCACTTGCTGTTTGTTTTCTGGTTGCTCGCTTTTGCTAGTGTCTGCTGCAAGATCATCTTTATACAGGGCATTCTCGTTGAAGGTGACATCTCTACTTCTGATAACCTTCTTGTTGTGGTTGTCCCAGAACCTGTAGCCCATGTCATCCAGCCCGTACCCAATAAAGATACATTTCTTTGCCTTTGCCTCGAGCTTGTCACTATCTGCATCTCTAACTTTGACATAAGAAATACAACCAAAAACTTTCAAGTGATTAAGAGATACCTCATGACCTTTCCATTCCTCTCTGGAATTTTGAACCCTATGGGAGATGAGGGTCCTATGTTGATCAAGTACGCTGTTGTGTTCACCGCATCGGCCCAGAACATCTTTGGAAGTCCTGCATGTAATCTCATGCTCCTGGCCCTCTCATTCAGTGTTCTGTTCATCCTTTCTGCAACACCATTTTGTTGTGGTGTTTCTGGAACCGTCTTCAGCATTCTTATCCCCTGTTCAGCACAATACTCTACAAACTCTGTGCTACTGTACTCACCCCCATTATCACTCTTTAAACACTTAATTTTAAGATTAGTTTCGTTCTCAACTGCAGCTTTGAACTTCTTAAAAGTGTTAAAGACTTCAGATTTATTTTTAAGAAAATAAACCCATACCTTCCGTGTAGAGTCGTCAATGAATGTAACATAGTAGCGGGAACCTCCAATTGAAGTGACCTTTGTAGGTCCGTAGACATCTGAATGAATCAACTCTAGCCGCTCAGTCTTGGGTTGTTGCCCTGTCTTCACAAAGGTTACCCTCTTTTGTTTACCAAGGACACATGGCTCACAAAAGCTTAACTTTGAATTCTTCAAATCTGGAATTTTACCGTTTGAAGACAACATCTTCATTCCATTCTCACTTATGCGCCCAAGTCTTTGGTGCCACAAAGTAGAGACCCCTGCATCTTCAACTGCTGCGTTTGCTCCATCTGTAGACACTTCTACCATGTACAGCGTACCATGCTTCTGTCCACAAGCAATGACCAGCTTTCCCTTTGTCACCTTCCATTGCTTGTTGCCAAAACTAACGTTATGGCCTTCCTCATCAAGCTGTCCCACTGAGATTAACATCTTCTTCAGATCTGGAATATACCTGACATTTTTCAGCCTCCAGGTTGTACCCAAAGTGGTATTGAGATTAACATCCCCAATACTCGTGATCTCCAGGGATTTGTCATCCGCCAAACGAACTCTTCCGTTGTAGGGCCTGAAATTTTGCATCAAATTCCTGCAATGACAAGCATGAAACGACGCACCTGAATCCATGATCCAAGACTCAATTGAATTCTCAACGCTGCAAATTAGGACATCTTCATAATCCTCTGCCACGTTCACCTCCTTCTTGCCTTTGTCTGCAGAGGCTTTGGGGCACTGATTTCTGAAGTGTCCATACTCCTTGCAATTCCAACAATTGATGTCCTTCCTGTTCTTGGATTGACCTCTCTTCCTCGACTTTGATCTTCCTTTCTTGTTACCTCCTTTAGTGGATCTTCTGCCCCTATCTTCAGTACTCAACAAACTGTTTGAGCTATCCCCCGAACTCCTCCTCCGGATATCCTCACCAAGGATCAAGTCATGAGTACCCTCAAAGGTAAGTTTAGTGGTTCCAGCCGAACTACTAACTGTTGTGACTGTACCGGACCAACTATCGGGCAAAGATGATAACAAAAGTAATGCTTGAACTTCATCATCAAATTTAATCTCAACCGAACCTAACCTGGATATGATTGAATTAAACTCGTTGACGCGATCTGTTACGGCTGCACCTTCCTTCATTCTTGTGCTCACCAACTGTCTGATTAAGAAAACCTTGTTGGCCGCTGAGGGTTTCTTGTACATGTTGGATAACACCTTGAGTAGTCCAAACGTTGTTTTCTCGTTGACGATGTTGTAAGCAACGTTTTTCGCCAACGACAACCTCACCACACCAAGAGCCTGTCGATCCAGCAAGTTCCACTCCGCCTCCGCCATTGATTCTGGTTTGTTCTCAGACAAGGGTAGATGAAGCTTCTTCTGGTAGAGATAATCCTCGATTTGTATCTTCCAGAAAGCAAAATCTTGACCATCAAATTTATCGATCTTATCCTTCCCTTCGTCAGCCATAGCTCTGATACCACTTGTTACATTTTAGGTTAAGTAAACGATAAATTAAAGAGCAAGAACACAATAATTTACGTGGTTCACACAATCGGGGTGATTGTGCTAGTCCACGGTGAACGAGAGAGAGATATGTATTATTATGTCGGCGTCAAGAGGTCTTACACGTACAAAGATGTGTTTAAATAGGTTTAAGAAAACCTAAACAAGGATTAGAGCCGCAAGTCCAAAATTAAGCTCGTAATTAAAAAATTACTCCGCAGACCCGGTCGGGTCTCCTATTGTACCCGGTCAGGTGTCTCCTCAAAAGGCATACCCGGGTCGAAACCAGGGCGGGTATCCTAAACAGAGGCCAAAACCTTCCACAGACCCGGTCGGGTAAACCTCCTTACCCGGTCGGGTTTCCAATCCAGAGAGTTGCCCGGCCAAAAACTGCCTCATACCCGATCGGGTGACTGACCCTACCTGGTCGGGTTTCTCCTGCTGCTGCAGAAACAAGGCTCCACCTTCAACACAACATACAAGAATGTCATCTTATTGCAATTGTACTGGGTCTAGATTTTGTGGCTTTCTGAAGTCCATTTTGACTTTGTAATGTTTAGAAGATGAGTTGATGATAAACGAAAATAAGTATGTAAAAATGTACTCCGTAATTGATTTACTAGACAGTAATTATGTTGAACAATGTTGCAGTTTTTTATTTGTTTGTTTACTCATCTTTCATATGTTGGTATAGGTTGCGTTTCTTATCATAAATGGATATGGATCATCGACTAAAAAGGTTGCCTGACTCCTCCTCTTTAAACATATACGAGCCTGAGAATCAACAATCCTTAGATATCCCCGACATCAACAACAATGCCCCTCCGATTGCACAATGTCTTACTAAGCTTGGTACTTGCTCTGGTACTTTGGACTCTGGTCCCGTGCATAAGCACCTTACCCAATATCTATTGGAGGAGGAGAGCATTATTGATGGGAACAACCCAGACATGTATTTTGATCCCATTGCTCTTATTGCTGTTGAGAGGTCCTACTATGAAGCCTTGCATCACTACCATTCATCAACTTTTCATAGCAATGCTGGAAGCTCCAAGTACGATGTTGGAAAATTTAGATCTTCTGAAGCAAGTAGTCATCCTGATATCCCCATTCAGTCATCATTAAGTCAGACTAACTCCGATCGGTTAAATATAGATGATTTCTTAAGCGCTAATTCGGTTCCAAAAATAGTTTGTAATGATGACACTGAGTCCATCTTGCAATTGAAGAGAGATGTGGATGATGCTGGTCGATTCCTTAATGATGATAAACAGGTTGTAATCAATTTGGATAATTACTTAGTTTCTCCTAGTGAGGAATTGAATGGAGATGCTGTTACCAAAATAGAGAAGGGCCATTCAGCTGATCTGTGTAGAGGAAAGAAGCATTATCATCTAGACAAAAGTGGTTTAGAAGAAGAAAACAGAATCAAGCACTCTGCAGTCTATCACGAGGAGGTTGAGTTAGCAGAGGTGTTTGATAATATTTTGTTGTGTACAGATGACGATTATTATCCATCTAAAGGTAGCACACAACAGGAAAACCGAAATGGTTACAAGAGCCAAATAAAGAAAAGAAGATATACTTGTGAAACTGTGGATCTGGAGTCTTTTTTAATCAGCTGCGCACAATCTGTCGTTGTTGCTGATTATAGGGCTGCAGAAGATGAATTAAAGAAGATCCGACAGCACTCTTTGCCTACTGGCAATGCGAACCAAAGAATGGCTCATGCATTTGCAGACGGTCTTGAGGCACGACTTGCTGGAACTGGGACACAACTGTATGTGGCTTTATCTCATGAACACAACATGATTGCTGAGATGCTAAAGTCCTACATGTCATCTTGGCCATTTATGAGGGTATCGATTTTCTTTTCAAATGGAATGATTTACGAAGTAGCGTCAAAATGTGAATCACTGCACGTTATAGATTTTGGCATTAATTATGGTATCCAGTGGCCCACACTTATTCGGGATATTTCACAAAGACCCGGTGGCCCTCCAAAACTTCGAATAACAGGGATTGAGTTTCCCCAACCTGGTTTTCGTCCATCACAAATGGTGGAGGAGACTGGTCGTCGCTTGGCAAAATATTGTGAGCGTTTCGGTGTACCATTTGAATACAATGCCATAACAACAAGCAATTGGGAGAGAATCAAGATTGATGAATTGAAGCTTGTGGGCAGTGAGGTGATTGCTGTAAACTGCATTGTTAAATTCCAGCACTTATTGGATGAGACAGCAGTTGGTGCGGACAACCCTAGGGGTGCCGTTTTAAACTTAATCCGGGAAGCAAATCCTCATATATATATGCAAACTGTGAGTAGTGGATCACAAAACTCTCCTTTCTTTATCAGTCGGTTTCGAGAGGCTGTCTTCTACTACACTGCTGTATTTGATACGCTTGATGCTACTTTACCGCACAATGATAATCAGAGATTGAATTTGGAAAAAGAAGTTGTGGGATGCGAAATAATGAATATCGTAGCATGTGAGGGAAAGGAAAGATTCCAAAGACCCGAAACATGCAAGCAGTGGCACTCTCGCATCATGCGGGCTATAAACCCCACACTTGCGAAGAAGTTAAGACGCAAGGCAAGAAAAGGATATCACAAAGATTTTCTTTTCCTGTAAGATGGCAATTGGATAATGCAGGGATGGAAAGGTCAGATACTTGGCGGCTGCTCTTGCTGGGTAGCTGCATGACAGACTCACACCACTTATAGTAACGAATAAATTTCACTTTTTGTCAGTTTTAGGTCAATTCCACATTTAGTTCACATCTTTCACTTTGTCCACTTTTGATACATGACTATTGTATTTTCGCCCATATATGGTCCTTCTAACATTGTTTCCGATGGTTAAAATCGCCGGAAAAGGACCACAAATGGTTAAAAAACATTAGTCAAGTACCAAAAGTGGACAAAGTGAAAGATGTAGACTAAATGTGGAATTGACACATTGCTATGGAGCCAATAACTATGCATTGCATTTTCGTGAGCTTTTGATAATCTTTAGGTCTAAATTAGAGGAATTCAAGAGTGTACGCAATAGATGACTTGGACGACATTAAAGCACAAAGTGACTTCGTTGGTATGGAGTGTGGACTAGTTATGGACACATCTAAAGGCTAGTGCAATATTTTAGTTATCTACTTGCTATTTGGATCTAGTTCTTCATTTTGCTAGAGAAGGAATTTGGACATGCTATAAAATCAATTGAAACAAATTCCCTTGAGATGTAGTTTTACATTTGGATCAAAAAAGAATTTGTAATTCCTTAAAGTTCAATCATGTATCATTTGGGGAATTTAGGCCTATTTGTTTGTCTAGTAGCGTGGAATCCAAGAATTCTTGCAAGCACGATGACACCAACTCTACAAAAAATGATCTCTAGAGAACCGTTCGGCTTCATGAAAGGAAGCGAGATTAAAAACCAGGTCCTAGTTGCATATGAAATGTTCATCCAATATTGTAAAACTAGATATGGCAAAGGCATCAGATCGAGTTTCTTTGAATTTCCTTGAAACCGTACACTACAAAAAAACAACGTTTTTGTCACGGATTTATCTCACATGTCACCGAAAACCTTTGTCACGGACCAAATTCGTGACAAAACTTTGTCCCAGACGCTTTCCGTGACAACACAGCTCGGGTGACCAGAAACTTATGTTGGCGTAATTTTTTTTATTCCGGCGTTTATCGCGGAAAAAATCTGTGACAAAATTATTAATTTTTTATAGTTTGTCATGGACGGATCCGTGACGAAATCTGTGACAAAGCTCAATAATTGCTATTTCCACCGGTCACCGAATTAATGTTTTACGGATAGAGGTTGCCACGGAACAATCCGTGACATATTGTTTAATTTTATATATGCAAGAACAATTTCATTCAACTGATACCAGTTGAAACTCAATCAGAGTAAAATACAATATCTGTTGAAAGATTGAATGATGTAATCTTATGTCATTTTCCTTACCTATGCAGATAAGGTATGTCATTTAAATTATGTATCTTTTTTAATGCTAATTTTTTTTTTGTTTTAAATAATTAAAATTGTTAGTGAGGTTGTTAATTAATTAACAATATATTTAACTTCAAATGTTAGTGATGTTATAATTTATTGTGCATATATTTGAAATTTGTTTGGGAATGCATATTAATTTTTCAATTATTGGTAATACCGTTAATTTAGGATTTAAATTTATAATATTAATTAAATTTAAATATTAGTTAATTCAAATGAGTTTATAAAAATATTAAGTTTTTTATGCCTTTTAGTTAAAAACCTTAATTTTAGAGTTTTAAGTAATAATAATAGTAATTCAATTAAAATGTCTTTCACATTTTTAGTTTTTTTAGTTAATTAAAATGTTTATTTGAAATTGGTTTAGAAATATATACTAACTTTTAGCAATTATTGTTAATGCATTAAATTTAGGATTTATAATGATTTAAGTTAGGATTTAAATCTTATAATGAATTATTAGGTAGTCAATGAATTATGTTCGTTTGAAATTAAAAAGATAGGATTTAATTAAAATGCCTTTCACATAGAAATGTTTATTTGAAATCTGTTTAGAAATATATACTAAATTATGAATAATTTTAGCAATTTAGGTTCAAGTTAGTGTGAATTTTTAGGTGGTTATTGAATTATGATTGTGAATTATTTGAATTTCAATTAATTTAAATGTTAGTTAATTTATTGTGTATTATTAGATTTTCAAAATCTTAGTATTGTGAATTAATGCCATTAACGTAATGATTTAGTGTATTTAGTATTAAAAATCTTAGTATTGTGAATTAATGCCATTAACATATAAAATTAGATTTTAATGTATTTAGTGTTAAAAATCCTAATATTGTGAGTTATTATGATCCAAAATTAGTTATGATGTTTGATTAATGCCATTAAGGTATTGATTTCAGTTAATTAATAATATTAACTGAACGTTAGTTTATTTTAGTAAACTTAGTGAAATTTAATATATTAATGTTCCTACATATTAATTAGTGAAATATATTAAACATAACTAATTATTGTTAATGTTTATAATTTATAGTTTTTAACCAATATAATATTTTGATTATAATATTCAGACATGATGTATAGACAAAATAGAAGTTGGATGTATGATAAACAGACAACAAGAGAGGAATGTTAGATGAATTTCTTAATGGAATTCAAGAGTCTATTAAATTTGCACTTGAATAAAAGAATTATATGGATGATGATAAAATTAGATGTCGATGTACAAAATGTAAAAATCTCAAATTTAAAGACATCAACGAAGTTGTGTGGCATTTTTACAATAAAGGTTTCAATGACAATTATAATTGGACTTCTCATGGCAAACTTTTTGATCCATCACTTTTACCGCAAACAGTAGTTTCGTCTTGTAACGTCCCTACCGAGATGAGTGGGTGGGGAGACAATGATCAAATGGTGTGGGATCAAAGCATGTTATATGATGTATACGGTGCCTCAACGTCTCAGTTTAACCCCCCGCAACCAATTAATAATCCCCCTAAAGCCTCGACCTCGTATCAAGCAGATGCGGATGAAGATCCGATCTTTTACCAACATGATGCGTATGAAGACCTGAACTATCATATTCCTCATATTGAAGGTTTAGCAGAGAAATTTCAAGATGTTTTAAAAGCTGCCGATCAACCTCGGTATGCTGATTGTGAGGGATGCTCTCAGCTATCCACCGTTTCAGAGTTGATGAACATTAAAGCTGAATACAGTTTCCTTGAAACTTGCATGTCTAGGTTGTTGCAGTCAATAGGAGGAATGCTACCGTGTGACCATAATCTTCATGATTCATATTACAGCATGAAGCAATTGATATCTCACTTGGGGCTTCCTTATATAAAAATTGATGCGTGCTCTTTATGATGTATGTTGTTCTGGAAGAATGTCACAGATTATTTTAACTACCGTCCATGACAAAATCTGTGACAAAGTTGTTTGTACAAATTTTTTGAACTACCGTTCGTGACAAAATCTGTGACAATAACTTAATTTTTTTGTAGTAGTAGTGGACAATTTTGGTTATAATCAAATTAAGAAGTTGCTAATGGGCAATCTGAAGGCTGCCTACGTATTTCGACACTTTGAGTTGTTCAAATTAAGAAGTTAAACCTTGCGTGGAGTCCTATCCATCCGGGTTTTAGATCTTGCACTTGATACTTCAACAGTGATTCTAAAAATTGGGTTATGGAAAACCAGATCGAAACTCGAAAACCTACTTTGGGCGGTCTGAAAGGGTTCACCAATCTGGTTTTTCTCTTTTGGCGGTGCTTAAAATAATTTGACCGTACCTGAAAATTTGGGTTCACTATTATTCACTAAAAACTATAACTCCGAACCGGTCAAAACCCGAAATTAGGGCTGGGTCCGAAAAACCGAAAACCAAAAACCGAATCAAATTAAATCGAACCGTAACCAAATAAAACCGAACCATTAAAAAACCAAATCCGAATGTAAAAACCGAACCAAGCCACAGTTGTTTGGTCTGGTTTTGGTTTTTACCCTTCAAAACTGAACCGAACTAACTAAAATAAAATATGAAATTCTATTTGTTAATTGTTAAGCATTAATCCTAATATCATCAGTACTCTTTGGTTTTCTTGTGTTAGAGAATTGAATTTTGTGTTATGTTTAGTTTAGCTTAGTTTAGTTTATAAATGCATTTACACATGCATTGCATGTACTACTGTAATTAGTTTAGTTTAGTTTATGTTTGGGGTGATTTCTTTTTTTACGGGAGTGCCGCACATAGGTTGCCGAAATACGGGACTTTTTCTAGGGTTTCTAAAAAAACGGGAAACGTGTTCCATGAATCCGAAATATGTAGGGTTTTAGGTGGGAAGTTAAAAAACGGATTAGATGAATCCGAAATATGTAGGGCTTTAGGTGGGGAGTTAAAAAACGGATTACATGAATCCGAAATTTGGTTTTAATTTTTTTGCAAACTGCTGGAAGATGCTGCGGAAGGTGTAGGGAAAGTAAAAAAATGAATTATTTAATTTTTTAATTTTTTTTAATAGACTTCTTAGGTTTTTTAGATTGGTTAGTTACATTTTTTTCAAAGAGGAAAACACAAATATTTCAATAAAAATTTGTGAGTGGGATAAATAATAGAGCATATGAAGCATAATATGTACAAAAATAAATAATTTAGTGATATTTATAGTTGGAAAGATGTGTATTATTTTATTAAATAAGAAATAATCAATTGTTATGTTAGAGATTGTAATAGTGAATATACATATTTAATTATATTGTATTACGAATTTATTCAATGTTCCCGCAAAATTAAATAATATAAATATTTCATTACTCATTTATCTTGAACAACAACATGACAAAGAAATACAATTTTTTATTCATTGAAAAAGAGTTACAAAATACATATAAATTTTTACTCTTGTGCTCTCCTACTCGGACGCATATCCATTTCATTTGTAAATCGTGTTCTTTGAGGCCTACCGGTTTGACTGCGTCGAGCACTTTGAGGCGGTATCACTACATATCTGGTATCAGGCATCGCACTTACGTCATGCATAGGCATAATATCTGTAGCATACGTACGGATGTACACACCTAATGTACATCTGACCGGCCCTACGTCGATCGGCATATAGTTGGACAACTTTGTTATAAGTTGCCTTAACCAGCGCGGTGATTGGAAGTGTTCGACATCCCTTTAGAACGTTATTGAAGCTCTCGGAAAGATTTGTTGTGAGGATGCCGTAACGTCGTCCATCGTCGAAGCACAATGCCCAATTTTCACGTGGAATAGCGTTCAAATA